TTCTAGACTTTATTTACAAAGCTTTAAGGGGCTTTAAGTAATCAATAGTAATACTGGTACAATAGGATCCTTCTGGCCGCAGTACCGTCTGTTGGGCGATTGTGCGCTTAAACTTTTAATAATAATAAATAATCTATTTAGAAAAATCTCATCCGAAGAAATTTTCAACGTACCGGAAAATGTCCTACTTCTATGATATCGAAAATCGACCCTCCACTCATTTTTCAATTTATTAAGTAAAGACATCAACTATTTTACTATATTTAACTTAACCCTTTACTGTACTTACTTTTAAAGAAAACACCATGTACATACTATATATGTTAACAATTTGCTTAATTTATTTACATAGTATACTTAACTAAATCAACAAATACTTTAAGGTACTTCAATTATTTTTGATAAACGTTATGTTATATAAATAAAGAGACTACAAGTCCAAACCGTACATTACAATTTTTAGAGAGGTCTCATTGTGGTCAGAAGATGTATGACTTATCCGTATTTGTGTGAAATTATGACCGACTCCTCCACTCATTATTTTTGCTGTAACACCACTGACGTCATCGTAGTCTTTATCAAATATTTGAATTGCCACAATTGTGTAATCATTACTCAGTGACTGAAAAAAAAAAATAAAAGTGTTCTTTTATGTTATCAATTTAAACATAAATCTCTTCAAGCATTTAATTTATTATTTACTTACTAAAAATACTTAATTATATTTAATTTATTTGCCTTTACGATAATATAAGTACTTAGTGTTTAAACGACTTATGACTATTAGTATACTACACAAAAACATTGTAAGGGTCCCATTGCTTTACCTAATCCATCTATAAATATCTGAAACATACATTATGTTTTGTAATTTTAGTAATGAAATCGCTTAGAACAATAAAAATAGCTCTAAGTGGGTTCTTATTTATATCACAAGTTATTACCCTTCATGAAAGTTATTTTTAATTCGTTGGGACATAACATTTCACTAGCCTGAGTTTGCGAAATGTAGACATTATTCTGATCATAATACAATTATCAGAAATCGGAATAACTTCGAGAAGAGTTCTTTTCGTCTGATTTGATAAAATAATGTCAACACAATTTGTTCTGGACTCAGCTCTGCTACTGTGAAATTAGAACTCACTCTTTTGCGCAGTAAATCCTACTAAGTTTATCTAATATTCACTCGATTTATCCATCAACTACTCAGTTCAGATAAGACTAGTATGTCAATGTATATCAATACCTTAGCATTTATCGGCTGTCTTGAACCAACTAGGTCGCCTCCGAATAATACATATGTTATATACCATGTTTGAAGCTAAAAATTAAAGTTATTACAGTATAAGTATGTTGATGTAGTTTTTTTTTTACATTTGCTAGTGTTCGTTAATTAGCCCAAAGACAATTACTACTTGAAGATCTAATCTCCGTTCAGTTTGAAGCATATTTATTTTTTTATATCAAGTGATAATTCTTCAATGCAGATAGACACCTACTAATGTTCAGGAGTATTTTTATTTTACCTTATCATTACACGAAAGTAGTGGCATCACTATACAATAAAGTGACCTGAACCCAATCACTTTGGTCTACGTGGATCATCTTTCTTCAGTTTGCTGACGTAATCGCTAGATTACTAGATGAAAAAATCAGTAGATACAGACCATTAGACCTTAGGTAGTAGAAAATATGTTATATGTATAAATGTATAAGGCTTTATTGTGCTTTAATTTGTATGTGGTGCAATATAGATTAGAAAATTCCAATTATTTTGATGTGAAAAGTCTATGGATACTGAACAGTTAAATCAAGTGAAGACTTAATTTCTGTTACATTTCTATTTAACTTAGTTTCTGTCATTTAATTCTCAAATTTAATAGTTAAATTTGGTTCCATTATACTCTACATCTAACAAAGCTCCTAAAAACGTATGATTAAAATATAGTTAAAATACAGCTAGTGAGCTTGAATATATTATATGTGAATGTAGATAAAAATCGTTACCAGTTCTATACTACACTAATGACATATAAATGAACTTATCTAATTGTATCTGCTTACGATACATAATCATTTATTGATAAAAATTTTTAAATTTAATTTAATTATAAGATTTGATGTCGATTTTATACATATACACGGAGTGAGAGGTTTTTGATATGGATCTTAAAAGTGTGTGAAAAACTGATTAAAAATATATTTTCATTAAGTCATTAATGCAAAAATAGATGGGATTGAAAGTAAAAAATATTTTATACCAATGTTCAATGGAATCACTTCACTATATATAGCTGTATACCAATCTAATGGTTTACATATTACCTCCCAGTGTTAACTAAAGTTTACGTCTTATCTTTTTCAGACCATCAAACTAATATGTCATTTTCATAAAATAAACAATATCTTTAACACCTGCACTATTGTGAAGAAGGAAGACTATCAAATACTTTTGGTTCTTCTACCAAGGGCTGAACTGTGCAAATGAGAAAATGAATAACAATTTTCTCTCTGTCTTTTAATTCACAACCATAACGGATACTTCCAATTGATCGATAGGTCTAACAAAGAGAAAGTATCTCGGCACAACGGTAATTGAGTTGAACTGCAATTAGTAAACAAGTCTAATCAGTTGAAGAGTTTTCCTCCATTTATATGGGAATCCTGGCATACTTATAAATGAACATTTCATTTTATTTTTGATATACGATTATTTATAATATTTTTACAGCTACCAGTTATATTAGTTTACGAGTTATAATATTATTGTTCATTTGTTTATGTTAGTATTATCTAATATAAACAGATTGAAATTCACTATCAGTAGTAATCTAAGTAATATAAGTAATCTAAAAATTTATAAAACCAATACTTTCTAATAAAGTTTTGATATATTGTATAGAAATGTTTTTATTTAAATTTTTATTTAAATATTATTTTAAAAAAATTACTGTTATCTTGAATGAACAATAGCAAAGGCATTAAACACTTAAAAATTTTTTTCTTTTTGATATAATGTTTCACACTCTATTAATTAATGAATTCTAATCAAAACAACTGAAACACGTCTCATTATTTAAAACTCTTTTTGTTTACATATTCAACAGTTATCATAGATAAATAATTTATCGCATCTACATTGTCTTTAATCAACCATAGCTGACACAAAATTTTCACTTAACACCAGAAACTAATTAAGTTTTCAAGCAACTCGTTGTAACAACTCGCTGTCTAGAATTGTTTTTATACCACCATACTAACTAGAAGTTAGTATATATAAAATGAATACATGTGCTTCACTTATCTTAATATCAAAAAAAAAATTTTAAAGTGTTTACACAAAATTTTGTACAATTAATATCTCAATATTGAAAATCAGTATTGAATTACACTTTTTTACTCACATCGTTTGGATAATAAAACTCGACAGAACCATCTTCACTTCTCAATTTTATTTCACTCTCAAATATGGGCGACGCATATTTGTTAACAGTTCCCCAATTAAAAATCTCAGCCCCGATATTATGTGTAATCGCCAAACAAATAAGTAACGCAAAGAAAAACCACTCGCTCTTCCCAACAATCACTGCCATTCTCACTAGTACTCAAATCGGAACTAATCGTAACAAAAAATAACGAGTCATCGACAATGAATTTAGCATTATTTGAAGTACATTGCTTGTTTTTTTTCATTTTCAATATATATATTTTTGTTCCGCACTTAACTATTTTGTTTAAAATATTGCTGTCAACCACAAGAAACTTGAATAAACTGTGCCGAATTTTTATATAAGCCAATTTGACTGTCGTGCTCCACTTTCTGATAAGTATTCGTACATATTTAGGCAACCTATCAATTTCTAACTTCAACATTTTATCTACTCAATAATAATAATAGCGGTATTTGTCTTAATATAAATTCAAATAAAAAATAAAGGAAATTACCTTTCACTTTTAATGTTTTTGAGAGTTCATTAACAAAACATTATCATATCGTAAAGTATATTAGAACTAATAGTTGTGTGGCAGTACTCGTTTAGTATACAAATATTCACCAGCTAGAGCAAATTTTTGAGCAAATATACGAAACAACTTTATATACTTTGTACCATACATATTTTTGACACATGTTTATATACAGACATAACATATACAGGATATACATATCTATGCCAATAGTAACTAAAAATATCACTTCAATCAAAACATCAATCCATACATTTTTGGAAACAATAATTAGAATCAATATTGGTATTCTAATATTAAATTTTAAAGGGAACACATACCTAATGTAGTGTAAAACACACACGATTGAATGTATTGATATCACCAACTTATATTACACCAGGAATCCAATCTATATAATGGATTTTCCATCTTTACAATTATTAAATATTATGTGATTAAATCTGGAAGTTTTTTAAATTAAACAGAAAGATGTATTAGGTGTAGAAAAATTTATTTTCTATTATGAAGGTATGAAATATAATTGACCTATAATGACCAATACATAATACATATTCACAAATTTTATTTTTAGTAATGAAATCTAAGAAACTAATTCCTTATAAACAAACAAATTGAAAAATATTAAAGAAGTATAAAATGTATAAAAAAAATAAAAAATGATTTATGAAGTTAATTACTAGTGAATATATATTCTCTCAGGGTAGAGTCTTTAATACTTCCAGTAATCTAAATAGATTTAGTCTAGTTATTATATTCTAAATTATAAAACAAAGTATAAATTAAAAGCATATAATGCTTAGACTAAAAAGAAAATATATTTATATGTATATATATATATATATATATATTAGTTCCTAGCCAGTTTATATACAAGTATATAATAAAACAATAATCTTTATTAATTAACATATAATCATATACGGTCTTAGTCGAAGAATACGATGCAAATATATGCTTCTATTGTGTGAAGAATATAATATGTTTATAAATATTTATAAAAGAAATATAAAGATTTCTTTTTTTTTAAAAAATTTTTTATAATTAACATGTTTTTTATATAAATATTTATAAAAGAAATATAAAGATATCATTTGTTTTTTGTTTTTTAGAATTATTTTATGTATATAAGAATTATGTATTATAATAATAATATATAATAAAAATATATAATATAAAATTTTATATAATACTGTTCATATTATGTATACATTACGAAAAATCTTCGATGCTTGTGGTACTCTACACCGTTATTAACCAGTACTCTCTTTTTTACTATTACCTATATAATTTTATAGAGTTTTATACAATTATTTATATTTAAATAATTTTGAAAAAAATATTTATAAACATAAAATTAGAGTTTTAGAATATATTTAACAATATTATTCTTTACAGCAAATATTCTTAAATACAAAAAATTTTCACAATATACGAGTATCACAGAAAACCATTTACTAGATATTTTAGAATATATTTCACAATTTTTTTATTTGCTTTAGTATCTGTTATTAAAAGTAACTACTAGATTACTGAGATTAAAACCGGTTTTTAATACTCTTTTCAAATAATAAGGTCAATTCTCAGGATTAAAATTTTGGAAGGGGCGTTTAGTCGATTAAACAGTTGAACTAATACATGTACAAAATCTTTTTTCATTTTTTCTTCCTTCTGCTTTGCTTTCAGAATATCACTTTTGAATCTAGTTTATGTGTATGAACTTCATCTAGTGTGCCCTTAAGTAAAAATTAATTCACCAAAATTAATTCTCAAAAACGAATCCTATTTATTCAGACAATTTTTTATGTATTTTGCTATATATATAACTATAGGCTCTATTCTAACCGAACTTGTTCTGCAACTCCGTCAATTTAGTTATATTATATAACTTATATAAAAATAAGTTTTATTAATTAAGTTTTATTGATTTTTATTATATTTTAATATGACTAACAACGTCTTAAATAATTTTTTTGTGTAAATTTTTTATTTATAATAAGAAATTTATAAATTTAAATTGTTTCGGGTATAAATTTTTATAATAGTCTATAAAATGTTCAATTCCATAATATTTTTTAAATATTTATTGAAATTAATTTTATAGTATTTATTTTTTATTTCAATTATGTTTATACTAATTTTAAAATATTTTAGATAGTAATGTTTTGTCTATAACACTTTTTATAATAGTCAATAAAATATTTATTAGAATAGAATAATTCTTTTTAAATATATGCTAAATAAATTTTATGGTATTTATTTACCAACCTAAATTAGGCTCGTAGACTTTCCTTTCGCCCACATTTTTTATTATATTTTTGAGATTTATTGTTTAAATTAGAAAGCAAAGCTATTGAGATATATAGTCTGTTAAGATAATAAAACTCTATGGGTATAGTTTTTATATTTTGTTCAAACAACTTTATTTACTATAACAATTGCTGAAATATAGCTTAAAACGTTGTCACTACAACTGACTTAATTTGTTTATCAAATAATAGTGTTTTATGATTTCGTTATCAATAAACTAATTTCAGTTAATATTGCGAACCAAAAATAAAGTCACTTATATCAACAAAATTCATTGACAATAAAAAAAACAGATGATAACAACAATAACGCAATAAATAAAATATACTTGAATGAAATATTTTGATATGGAAGCTTATATGTAAATAATATGAAGAAATGAGGTCATTATACATCAACTCAAAATATTGAACAGGTTGATTCACAAGTACTGAATATATTTGTTTCCATATGATTTTATTCTTAATGAGTATTTTTCGAAAGAACTTCATCTTTGTTTACTAAATACTTAATCGTAAATTAATTAATGTAAGTATTGTCGTAATTTTAGACTTTAATAAAAAATTAAAATAAAATTATTTTTAATTTATTGAAAAAATTTATACCCTTCATAAGCAATTAAAATTCTAATTAAAGTATTAACAGATTTATCTTTTTTATTAGAAATACAACTATATTTAGCAACAATTTTGTTCATTTATTTATTGAACTTATTTATAAAATTTATTAAATTACAATTAATACAAAATTTCTTCAGATAAGTTTCATGTATAAAGTCTCCAGAATCGCAAAATAAAATAAAAAAGCATTAACGAATTAAAGTAGGCTCGATCAACTGTAAGACAACTATGCTAGTACATGAACCAAACCTAATCTTTAGACTTACATTTCTTATCAACCAGACAGAGCTATCAACTTTCAAAAATAATGACATAATTAAGTTTATAGACTTGTCAGATTGATATGCTTTTACTTATATGGGGGAGTCGTACATATTTTCTTTAACGTTGTCCATACTAAGTCTTTATACTAGTTTTTGATGTGCTCTTAACCTAGTGTATAGAAATATTAATGCGTGTTATCACAACAAGCCATCATTTTTAATAAATAATAACTACTAAATAAGCTTTTAGTGCCAACCCGTCACTAAAACCCAACTTAAGCTGATCCAAAACATCAAACATTTCTCTTAGACTGATTGAAAATTGGACCTTTACTGGTTTTGCGAATTTTTTTTTTATGGTGACTATCGACAGGTCCTTCTCGAACTTGTAATTTTAGCTTCGTAAACAGGAGAATCACATGGACCTATATGCTAGGACTGCATGCTGGATCTTTTACTTTTGTTGAGATTTTTAAAGACGTTGTGACATCGCAAAACAAATAGTAATTTAATAAACTATATAACATAAACACATCAGATAATCACGTAGATCATTAAATACTCATAACTAAGTATTTAATGGATAACAAAATATTGTGGCAAAGAACTGTTTTGGAACTATTCGCAGGCCTTTTTCAAATTCTAAACTTTGTTTGCTTTTTGTATAGAATATAAATATTAGTAATTAATTAGTAATATCTTTTGGAAAAGTCATTTATGTACAGTTGTTGTATTTCTATGAAAAAAATAACTGTATCTAAAGTTATACAAATTAAAAACATTTGGGAAACATAACCTCATTCTCAACAATAATTGAATTTATTTACAGACAAATAGAATTAAACTTTATACCATATTTCCACTGCTTACTAAGTTACTTAAGTTTAAAGTTACTCAAAGTTGGCGTTTCCATTGGTATTTTAAAGATTCATAAACTGTGAGATTACAAGATTTACGAATCATATATATTAAGTATGTATTTGATCAAGTAAAATCAAATAAAATTCGCTTAGCATGCAAACAAGATTAAGAACTTAATATACCATTTTCATATTGGTGTCAAGTCAATACAAGTGTTTTCTGCAAACTGTCTATACTAGCAGATAGATAACAGATATATTGCTAAGGTATTGTTGCAATTTAGTTGAGTGTGAAGGTTAAACAAGTATATTTTTGAAACTGCCAATACCTAAAGATAGATAAGAGATGTATTCGTAATTCATTATTTCAATTGGCTTTGATAATAAGAACAAAGTGGATTTTCACATTGACATTAATAAACAGGTGAAGTCCCACAATAACAATTGTATTAAAACGTGTCTTGGAAATTCAGGCATAATATATTATAGATTTCCTTATAAATATAAATAAATTTTACTTAACATATTTCGTGATCGTTCAGACATTTCATATTGATATTATTCAGAGAATTTTAACAAAAATATGTTTAAAATAGAACTAAAGCGATCGGTAAGATAGTCTCGTAATAATAATGATTTAGTAATAATTTTACTTATCAAAAGAA